GAAAGGAGAGGAAAGGAGAGGAGAGGAGAGGAGAGGAGAGGAGAGGAGAGGAGAGGAGAGGAGAGGAGAGGAGAGGAGAGGAGAGGAGAGGAGAGGAGAGAAGTGTGCTGCAGTCAACAAAGCTGAAAGGAGATCTGAGGAGCACTTGACATCAGAGTTTGGAGTTTGCCCAGCTGGATTTCAGTCTTGCTCTGGTCCAGTATTTCCTCACCGTGTTCCCTTTCCCCCATTTTGGAATGGTAATGTATATCCTGTGCCATTGTATGCTAGAAGTATGTGATCTGCTTTTGGGTTTGATTTTACAGGGGTTACGGTTAAGGGATTGCCTTGAGTTTCAGAAGGGACTTTGGACTTTTAAACCGTGTTGAGACTGTGACAGATTATAGGGATTCCTAAAATTGGACTGGCTGCATTTTTTTCACAGTATGGTATGGCTACAATCCTACAGTCCTATGCGGGAGTTGAATATGGTGGTTTGAAGAATAGTCTCCACAGGCTCATAGATTTAAATGCTTAGTCACCAGTGAGTGGCACTATTTGAAAAGATTAAGAGGTGTGGTCCTGTTTGAGGAAGTGTTTCACTGGGGATGGGCTTTAAGGTTTCAGAAGGCCATGCCAAGCCCAGAGTCACTTTTGTTCTGCTTCCCGTGGATCCAGATGTACACCTCTCAGCACCTTCTCCATCCAGCCCCATACTTTCCTCCACAGTGACAATGGAAACTCTAAGCAAGCCTCAATTAAATCCTTCCCTTTATAAGAGTCGCCAAGGCCATGCTGTCTCAACCCAGCAATGGAACACTGACAAAGACATTTACTCTTATTTTTTTTTTTTAAAAAATTCAGTTTTGCCTACATGTGCCCCATGTGAGTACCTGATGCCCATATAGTTTAGAAGAAGGCCTTGGATGCTCTGGAACTTGGAGGGTGTGATTCACCACGTCCATTCTGGGCACCAAACCTGGATCTTCTGCAAGAACAACAAGTATTCTTAACCACTGAGTCATCTCTCCAGCCCCTTGAATGTGTGTGTGTGTGTGTGTGTGTGTGTGTGTGTGAGAGAGAGAGAGAGAGAGAGAGAGAGAGAGAGAGAGAGAGAGAGAGAGAGAGAGCGCACACATGCGTGCCTTTAGATCAGAGGCCAACTTTTGGGAATTGGTTCTCTCCTACTACATGTGTTCTAGTGATTGAACTCAGGTTGTCAGACTTGACAGAAACTGCCTTTACTCCCTTGAGCTATTTTGCCAGTCTCTTTTAAAAGGGTGTGGGGGGTTATTTATGTATATATTTGTGTATTTATGCAAATATATACTGCATATGTGTGGCTGGCCTCAGAGATCAGAAGAGGGTGTCAGATACCCTAGAGCAGGAGTCACGGGGGGGGGGGGTTGTGAGCCACCCAGTGTGGGTGCTAGGAACAAAACTTGGGTCCTCTGGTTAAGTGCTTCTGAACTGTCTCTCCAGTCCCATCCTTTGCTGCATTTTTAATGAATCTGTGTAAACTCCATCTAGATTCGGTGTTTCTCCCTACTCCACAGGCACTCTGACACTTAGAACAGACTGGCTTGACAGGCCTGGGAGGAGGTCAGTAACACTGCGAGGCTGATGCTTTGACACTAACAAGGAAATCTGCCAACTGCTCATGCTTCTGCGAGGGGCCACAGGGAGACAGGCGCCCCCTACTGGCCTGACGCAGCCCCCAAACACAGTCAGGCGGCTGTGGTTGCTAGGCGACCAGGCAGCCTGAGCTCAGACTCAGAGATTGAACAGTTGGGGGATTTGTGAGCACAGAGACCATTTCTCTCTCCTTCCACCGCCTCTCCAGCGCCCTCAGCAAATAAAGCTGGGATGGGGCGGCACTCTTCACCGCTGTCTCATAATCTGAGCTCATTCTTGAAAATAGAGCTTTAGCAGGTGACCTCAGTCCTGGTGGAGGGACAATCTCTCTTGGCCCACACATGGTTTCATCTAGGGGCCAGATGAGCAGGTTGCTGAAAGCAGGGATTTCCGGTTTGTAAAGGGTGGAGGACGAAGATTGATGTTCCTAACCAAAGGGAATTGTAGGAAATTGCGAGTGGGTGGGAATAATTTTGGTGATTAGGCCAGCGAAAGTATCAAGATTTGCCTACCATTCTCAACATGTGCCTCAGGAAACTCCTACTTTAGCCCATTAAAATAAAGACTCCACAGGAATGACGAACTATAAAGGATTATTCAGACCTCAGCGGGACATGTCTCCCCCCCCCCCCGTGCTTTTTTTTTTTTTTTTTGAAGTAGGTTTCCTTGCGGAGACATGAAGGAAAGAGCTCATGAAATAGGACCAGAGCCTCAAAAGAGGGCGAGAAATACGAAGACTAGTCGGGTGGTAGACCCTGAACTTGGAGGCTTCTTGGCTCTGTGCCGCCTTTACCAGGATCGTGCTGAAGCCCCCTACTTTCACGAGGCTCTGGGGACCAGAAATTCAGTTTTCCCGTCTAGTAAGCTAATATTTTGTCTAACCTAGGAGTAGGTCCATGCAGGTCAAGGCCCTGCCACAGTAACTTCTCCGTTGAGGGGCTCTCCTCTGCCCTCTCAGCTAGTACAACAGAAGCTTCGTTGTGGTAGAGCCCCCCGATTCATAGCAAGCATGGGGAGAGCTGTACCCAGGAGTGTGCCTGTAGGCTACCCCTTGAGTGATACTAGGCTGAGGAACTTGCAGCCAGAGGGCGTTTGTCCCACTACCTCTATCCACTGGAGCGCCTCAAAGCTCCTTGCTCCCCATGTTTCCAAACTGAACTGGGTCGGGGCTGTGCCTTCGCTCTATTAATAGCCCCTAGCCCAGCCTGCTAGCCCCAAACCCAGATGCCAGGAGTTGTGACTCAGCAGCTAAAAATAACGAGCGATTGCACTCAAAACTCGGTGAACAGCTCCCCCTGGCCTTCGGCCCTCAAATTTTGGTCAGTCCTAGTCTGCAGTCCCGGGGCCTCATAGAGGTTCAGTGCCTACAGCGGTCTGGTTCTCCCAGCAAGAAGAGCTTACAGGGGTTGACTCAGAACTCGGTATGCGAAGCTAAGAGCTGGGAGCACGATCTGAGTTGGTGCTGGCACTCGGGGAATCTGGACGCTGAGGTTAAAGGACTGCAGCCGAGAGCTGGGGAGTTGGGAGGTTAGAGCTGCTAGGCTGAAGGTTGATGGTCTGGAGTCAGGAGGGAAGAGAAGGGAGAGGAGGGGAGGGAAGAAGCTGCAGGGCAATGAGCCTGGTCAAAAGACAAGAGCAGAGAAAAGAGTGTATGAGTTGGAAAGCAAGCACACACGCCCAAGGGTGACAACCTGACAGGCTGGGGGACTCCAGGAGCTGAGCTCGGTAGTTGGCTAGACTGAGGAGCGGGACTGGGAGGAAGGGAAGGGAAGGGAATGCAGTTGGAAAGGCAGCATGATCTGCTGAGTTGAAGTCACCATGGACCTTCCCACGGGTCTACCCTGCTGTCCCCCATGCCACGCCTGCTTGGGCCAGGTGTGTCTGTGTGGAGGACTATGAGAGCTGGGAGGCGGGGGGGGGGGGGGGGGGGGGGGGGGGGGGGGGGGGGGGAGAGAGACAGAGACCAGAGACAGAGACACAGAGAGACAGAGAGAGGCATGGCAAATTCAAACTCGCCTCCCTCCACTGAAGGCAGTAAGTGCCCAGAGGCAAGGCAACCCAGGAATTGTAGTTCCCATGACTGCCGGTAATCAGGGGTGGAGGGATGGGGGGGGAACGGACGGACGGGGGTGAGGTTTTGGCCTGAGATGCTAGTACTGCTCCAGGTTCTGATCTGACAGGAGAGGATGAATCGAGGACCTTTCCCTGTCAGACCAAAACCTTAATTTGACTAGCCTTTGAGTGGAGGGGCAAACCAGGACGAATGACAGTGTAATGGAGGATTGCAGGGTCAGCCTGACAGAGCCCTTCTTGTCCTAGCTTTTGTCTTTGCTTTCCAACCCTCTTTTATTTGCCTCACCATTGCCAGGTCAGCTTGACACTGGCCGCCTCAGCTTCTAGCCTTACAAGCAGCAACATATTGAGGCATTTGCTCCTCAAGGGGAAGGCTATCTAGAACCAGACCCTGTGTGTATCCCAGAGATGGTGGGGGGGAGAGGGGGGAGGTGGAAATCAGTCCTTGCCCTCAGTCTGAAGTCAAGGGCACAAGTCCCCGAACATGCAAGGAAAACTGGTGGCTTTCATCAAGCATGTCACTGTGGCAAGGGATCCAGCCCTCTGGGGGGGGGGGAATGACCACAAGGTGGAGCTACAACGCAATCCTGCTCAAAGCTCCTGGGCCACCCAGACAGAGGCCACAGTTGCTACTCTTCAGCCTGCCAGGGAGGCGGGAGGTGTTAGCCCCCCACCCGTCTCCCCACGATGATGACCTCTCAATGTCATTTTCCATTCAGTTCCTGATGGAATGCACAGCCGTCCAGCCCCAGCACTGAAATGATTAAACTGTGACCGAATGACAATTAAAAATTCATTGAATAACAGATTAACAGGCAAGATACAGGGACCATTCACGGCTCACAACCAAAAGCATGGTAGGCACAGAACTGCATTGCTAAATGAGCTTTCTAGCTCCCAACCTGTGGGCAGGAAAGACACTGAATTGTGAGGGTGAGGAGAGAAAGGGACCGGAGTGGGGACTGTCTTCATCATCTTTTAAGTTCTCCAGTCACCATTCTGTGCGATTCCACCCTGACACACCCGGTGTCTTCTACCCGAGCACATGTGCGTGCAGGCCCAAGACCTTATCTCTCACTTGGTTTAATTTTGGGAGTAACTTCCTGTCACTGTCTTTCCAACTAAGTCATGTTAAAATGTCAAAGGCAGCAAATTCCATGGCAGCTTGGGACATGCCCTCCATTTGGACAGAGGGCCCTCTTAGTTTGAAAACTTCTGTTATGAATGTTCCCCTCCTCCAAACATTTTATTCCGGGATGTTCCACTTGAGCTCCTTCCCTTCCTTCCCTCTGGCTGCTGCATGCAGCCCTTGGTCTGTAGCTGATGGGGGCACGGGTTCCGCATTCACTCGGAGGTGACATTGTTGATCCTGGTCAGCAGCACTGTTGCTTCTAAGCCTAGGGCAGGGGAGAAGAGGTGGCTCATGTAGGGGGCGACACCAAGGGGAATGAGGAGGAGGCAATGAGAAGCAAAGGGGCATTCTTACCTGTTCTCTTTCTCCTGGTACATCTCCTAGAGAGAGAAAGTTTTTCTATTGTGAGTCCCACTGACTTGTAGCAGAACACAGGAGTTCTCCAAACTGCTTTGCCCAGGGCCAAGACAATTTACTGGTATAAGGAAAGCTCAAAAAATCAACCGGACTGGACCAGATCCCAATCCTGGGCAGCATGTGAGTCAGAATTAGCTTTATTACCTGGAGCCCCGGGGAAGCAGTGACCCAGGAGACCAAAGCAAAAACACTCACCTTCGGAGGACGAAGATACACAAAAGCAGCAGAACGGAGGCGCAGTCAGTGACGATCCATATCATTAAGTAGATCTGAGGGGGCTACGGGGTTAGCAGAGGCCCATCAGTGGTCAGAGTCCCCAGGAGTAGCATATGGGGGTAAATCAGTATGGAAGGGGACAGGTTTAAGGAAGGCAAGAGACGGGAGATGAAGAACAGTGACAATGCCAGAGCCCTTACAATAAGCCAGAGGGGGTGGCGCATCTGTCGCAGCAGCTGGCAGTCATTGGTGGTGACTGAATCTACCCCTGCACACCAGAGCAGGGAGAAGAGCCAGGGCTTGTTCACTACGAACAGGTTCACCGAGACATTACTCTGGTGGAGTGCCCTGTGCAAGTGGGAAAGGAATGAGGAAGCATCCAGAATTTGCCCAGCTCACAGCTGAGACTCTGCCCTGGATCCATCCTCCTTTATACGGATCTCTGGGATGTAGAATTAATACTAACGCCTTTCTCATGTCCAAAGCCCTATCCAGTTTAGCCCCTGTCTCCCTCTCCAGCTTCCTCTTCCCCTTTCTTGCTCTTTATTCTCTCCTTGCTTCTTCTGGGTTTCCCACGGTTAGCTCATCCCACTTTTCAGTGCATCCTAACGTGGCTTCCCTGCTTCCTTACCCCCAGCCCCAATCACTACCCGACAAAAATGTGATTTTGTCTATATATTTTGGTAGTTTCCAAATTCCATGAAAGCTGGGACCTTTCTTGTCTTATTCACATGATTTCTTTCGGCCTACAATAAATGCTACGTGATATATGGCAAGCATCCGATAGGTATCCATTGTGGGAATGGATGGATGGGTAGCTACCCCCGGCAGCAGTACTTTCCTGACACTCAACTTTGAGGTTCCCTTTATTCCTCTCCTCTGGCACTTACTTGATATCCAACACTGGCAGGTCTTGATAGGGGAGGTTGAGAAACTGGGGCTGCTCAGTCCTGTTGCCCCCCTGATGTCCATATATCTGGCGCATCCTGGGAGCCCGTTGTTGCACAGAAGCACGGTCTTCATCCGGGAGCCAAAGGACCTGTGGTTCAGGGGAGATGAGTGTGCAGCCGAGGAAGTCCCAGGGATTCCAGGGACAGGTGCAGAGACCTTTGGCCACAGAATGTGGTATGTGACCTGGGGTAGGAGGGTGAGGGCAGGAGGCAGCCTCGGAATTATCATGGCTTAAAGAAGGTAGGTGGGAAGAGGGGCAAAAGGGGGACTTTGGGAGCACTGGACAACATCACCATGGCTTGGGGCACGCTTGCATTCAACACAGCCTCCAATGTCTGATTCACAAACGTGTCATAGTATGAGTGGTTGATCGGGGGTCGGCGCAGGTCAAACATGACGGAGAGGTTGAGGGCTGCTGCTTCCTTCAGCAGTTCTTCTAAGGCTGGCACTGTCTGATTCTCAGCCTCCTTCCGATCAGAGCCTGACAGCGCTTTCGCCCCCCAGAAGGGTTGCCTCTATAACAGAAGGGAATTATTTCAACATCACAGGAAGCCTCTAGTTTTCTCCTGATACTTGCCGTTATTTGTTCATTCGTTCATTTTGAGCCGGGCTTTCACTAGTGCAGTCCTGGTGGCCTGGAATTTGCTATGCAGCTATGTAAAGCATGCTGGCTTTGAACTCACAGTGAGCTGCCTCTACCTCCCAAGTTCTGGCTGAGATTAAAGATGTGAGCTACCACACCCAGCTCGCTCCCCTCAATCTTACTAAGTGTGCTACCCCGGGTTCTACCCACCTCTGAGCCAAGGTCTCTTTCTCCAAACTGTTGCTTTCTCCCATCTAATCTTACCCTATGGCTCAGCCTCCTACCCCTCCAGGTTTCTAACTTCTTTTCCTCCTGCTACATCATCTATTTATTTGTTTGTTTGTTTATTTATTATGTATACAATATTCTGTCTGTGTGTATGTCTACAGGCCAGAAGAGGGCACCAGACCTCATTACAGATGGTTGTGAGCCACCATGTGGTTGCTGGGAATTGAACTCAGGACCTTTGGAAGAGCAGGCAATGCTCTTAACCTCTGAGCCATCTCTCCAGCCCTACACCATCTCTTGAGTCTCATAGAGACCTCTGTGATCTTGAGCCTTTGCTTTCCTCCTGGTCCTCCGGTTCCTTTCTTGTTGCATGAATTACTTTGCATAGTGCTCTCAAGAGACTCCTTTCTGCCTTTTGTACACCCTCCAAACTCTGATTCAGTTTTCCAACTGTCTGCCTCCTCCACCTTTAGGACAGGGGGCTGCACACTGTCTCAGGCAGATGACAGCATGGGGACTCTCGGCATTGCATTTCCTGTTTTCACTCACTCTGGCTTGATGAACCTTGTACTTGCTCTTGACTGGCCTTTTCTCCCATTCCCCCTAGCAGTTGTTCCAAGCTACTGCCATCCTGCCTTCCTTCCCTTACTATCAACTAAAGATCTCAAGTGCTGACATAGGTAAACCTGGGTAACACTGAGTATTTGCTATGTGCCGAGTGTTTCCTGTGTATGAACTGACAAGCTGAGAGCCCTAGAAAGGAAGTACTATAATTATTATTCCTGTTATACAAATGAGGAAACTGAGGCACAGATTGGCTAGGGATCATTGGCCAGAGTCACCATAGCTAGTAAGTGCTAAAGCCAAAGTTCAAATATAGACATTCTAGCCGGGCGGTGGTGGCGCACTCCTTTAATCCCAGCACTCGGGAGGCAGAGGCAGGTGGATCTCTGTGAGTTCGAGCCCAGCCTGGTCTACAGAGCTAGTTCCAGGACAGGCTCCAAAACCACAGAGAAACCCTGTCTTGAAAAACAAAAACAAAATCAAACAAACAAAAATATAGACATTCTTGGTTCTTAATTATTCTGCTATGCCATCAGATATAGACTTAAATTTATAAAAGAAAAAGAAACCTGAAAGTCTGTGTTGTGATCTTAATCTTTTTGAAAAAAAAATACATAATACATATTATCAGTGAATATTTTAAATGGTTGGGTTATGGGAGATTCCAATTTATAAATTATTTTTCTGTGTTTTTTTTTTGGTACAATGAACAAATACTACTTTTGCCATCAGGAAAAGAGGTACTGTGAAATTAAAGTATCCTTTTAAATATTTGTCACTGCCGAGGATTAAAGTCAACACTTCAATGGCCCAACCTTCAAACTTCTTCAAGCTCAAGCCCCTACCTCCTACCACTCCATGAATCAAATCTGCCAGTTCCACTGAGCTACTTTTTGTTCTCTAGAAACCTGCTTGTGTTTCCGGTCATTCCCCATGCCCTTACCTCAAACTAGCAACTCCATGTCCCAAGCAAGGGTTTGGAGCAGATGTCAGGTTAAGTGCTGTCTAGCCAAGGCTCTGAGGCCCATCCTAGCACTGCGAAACTAGTTTCCCATTCTGGCTTTGCGAAACAGTGGACCTCACTCCCGTCTGCCCAGGAGAAGTATTTTTATTGCTCTATTTCCGACTCTGATTGTCTTTCGCTCCGGCTCTCTCTCCTTCTTAGCACGTGGGAGCGACATGAGGGCAGAGACTGTTCTTACTGACCAGCACAGGGTGCTGGCATGAACTCTGCCCTGAGTGCCACCGAGGTAGTGGCCTCTTAGCCGGCGCCCTCACCTCTAGGAACCAGGCTCCAGCGTTGAGTCTCTGTAGTTCAGCCCAGGAGAAATCACTGCTGTGGGCTGAGACTCGCTCTGGAAACACAGAGGCTACATCGGTAGTCCTGCCCAGCCGCTCGTCATGCATGAGAAAGGGGACTCCATCAGAGCTGAGGGCACAAGGAGTGTCAGGCATCCAAGCTCTGGAGCTGCCATCTTTTCCTGAGTGCCTTCACAGTGTCCCTCAGCCCACCAACCCCTCTGGGCCCCACCCTCCATCACCTGACCATCACGTCTGTCTCAAACACAGTAGCTCCACATTCGGCTGTCTTCCGTAAGGACATCAGGGTATTCTCAGGGGCCAGCTGGGAAAGGGAGTCAGGAGGATGTAGTAGGGAAGGGTAGGGGTCTGGAAATCCACAGGCCGAGTTGCTGAAGCCTAGCAGATTCTCCCTTACTTGCCCAGGCTTCTTCCTATCACTCACCATGGGAGCCCCTCGGTGTCCCACCAGACCAGGCTTGGGGGGTAAGTCTCCGAGTTTCATGATGCAGGGGGAGGAGATGAATAGGGGGGCCAGGTAGATGACCAGAGTGATTCCAAAAAATAGGAACAGCAGTAGAACCTTGGGGCCTATAGAAAGTGGAGGACAGGCTTTGGGGAAAGGCAGCAAATGAGTGGGAACTCTAGGGGCAGAGGGCAGCCGCTCAGGCACAAGAAACCGAATGAGCAGTGGGAAGAGACACTGGTGTCCAGTGAGGGTGTGTATGGGCTGAAGTTGGCACCTCTTGGTTGCATACGGTAGAAGGTATCTGCCACAGGCCAGGCCAGGAAGGTGATTCCAGCAACTGCTCCAATGTGAAGGAATGGGGCTGTGGCCTGTGGATAACAGCTGGTGAGGAAGGCTCGCCCTCCTATTGTTTCCCCGCCTCCCTCTTAGGGCCGAACTTTTGGAGTTCAGAGAGACCTGCAGTCTCATGGGACCAGGGGCAATGTAATGTTCCAGGCCGCGGGCCAAGGCTCCCGCCTAGACAGTGGAGATGAGCCACTCACCTGCAGTGACAGTCGCAGACTATGCCACTCCTGCCGCCACTGGATATCCAGTCCCACCAGGCCAGTGGCCACCAGAAGTATAATGAGGAGCAATAGCACCTGGGGCAAAGGAAGAACAAATGGGCTTCACTGTCAGCCTCGCTCAGGGTTGAGTGCACTACCTCCTTATGCTGTTGACACAGGGTTCTTCCCCTTCCTGAACACATCCGCTCTGCTTTCACTCAGTAAATACGGGCTGGGTTTCAGGTCCTGACCCGGACCCCAGGGATCAAAAAGTGACGGCCTCAAGCAAATAGCCATCCATCGGTGTTGGGCCCAACATCCCTTCTCCATCAATGCCACGTCATTGTACCTTGTGGAGACTGTGAAGATGCAGAGGCTGACCACAGAGCTGCAGGAGCAGGCCCAGGAGCTGGGGACAGAGGGTAGGGGCACTGAGGAGGGGCCAGAAGAAGGCAAGTTCACCCAGTGGGGATGTGCAGACTGGCATCTCCTTCCCACCCCAGAATTATCGCCACCCCTTCAGTGGCTAGGACGAGAACAAGACAATAGACCTGAGCAGGAATGAAGGGCTTAGATGGGAATTAGCCCAGATATCCCTGGACCAACCAATAGCAGGGATGCGTATGTGACCAGCAGAGAGATGACCAGCACGACTACCAGGGACCAGTCCATCCAGTGTCCCCAGTGGCGGAACAGGAATCTGTAGGAGGGGAAAGGGAGGTGTTCAAGGGGAGGAGGCGACCTGAAGGGGGTTGGGAGTTGAGTCCAGGAAAATAACTAGAGCAAAGGGGAAATGCTTAATAGGGCCAAGGTCTCCAGGGATGGGATGGCGGGGATGGGGGGATCTTTTCTAAAGAGGTTGGGAATGTGGGATTCGGGGGCCATGTAGAGCTGGGGATGACTGATAGTGGGCGGGGGGGGGTCTGAGCATGGGTTAGGAAGGCTGATATGCGGAGGAAGGGGTAGATGGAACGTGACACACTCATTGAAGTTGTGTAGATCATTGAGAAGGATGAGCCCGATGTAGAACCAGCCCAGGGACAGGAGGAAGGTGAGGAAGAGCAGGCCAAACCAGACGCAGTCGCACTGCGGAGGGGCAGGAGAGAAGCTCTCAGCTGATCCCCAGTTCATGCTCAGAGGCCCCCAGGACAGCAGCTCTGTCCTACACTGAGCTGCTCTTCCTGTATTTGAGGGAGATTTTCTTCCTGGGGAGAAAAAACTCCTTCCTCCAAACTGCCTATGAGTATAGTCAGTCTTCATATTCCTTCCAAGCAGCCCTTTCTCTAACTCGAGGCCCGCCCCCCGAACCCCACTCCACCTTGCTGGTCTTCATCCTCTGTCTAGGCCATTTCCTCCAGTGACAGCTATATAGGCAGTGGAGGCCATGGGCCCAGATGGAGCAGCAGCCAGGAGACTCGGCCATGGTGAAGGCCTGGGGGAAGGGATATGACTGTCAGGAAACTCTGACAGAGGACAGATCTCAGCCTCCCCTCCCTCCTGGGTTTGCTGTCACAAGGAAGACCCAGAACTCTGGATTGGATGAGGTGACTGGCCCAAGCCTGGAAAAGAGGGACTGTTTGGAGTCTTTCATTTCCACTGATTTTTGATATTTGGGAAGTCAGTGGTCCAGCCTTTTTGCAGGCATAATGTGTACTCCTTTCTATTTAATGACATCCAGGTCTGGGGTTGGAGTCCTTGCCCAGAGTAACTTAGGAGAATTGCCCCAGGGTGGGGCAAATTCAGTTCAGCAAGTTAAGGCAGACCTGACTGAGCTTGAAGCAGCCAGCTCATTGCTGCCTTCCACCCCAGGAAGCAGGAGTAACCTGAAGCAGAGGTTCCCATTCCGACCCTGGGCTAAGGGAGGCAGAGCAAGCTGACTAGTTGCTATGGATACAGAGATTGTACAAACCACAAAGCCTGGACTGAAAGATTCTGTGTCCACTTCCCAGGGTTGGGGGCACTGCTAAGGAGACTGGAGAGGAGCTGGTTGCCTGGATCCCTTCCTCCTAGGGCTCTAAAGGAGCCCCTTTCCCGCCTGCGCAGTCCAGAAAATCCAAGCCCCTCCCCACTCTAGCCTCGTCCTTTCCTGCCCAGGCATCATGTACAGTCACCCTCCACCCCAAAGAGAAATCCAGCTCTCACCTTCCCCCTCCCGGGGGCCCCACCCTCTGAGTTATCCTTAATGAAAGTACAACACACACACACAGGGCAAAGGTGCATGTGTGAGTGCCTGCATTTGCGTGTACGTGTGTATAGGGGTGGTGGTGGTGGCGGCAGGGGAGTTGTCTTGGAGCAGGGAAGGCCTGTACCTTGTAGTTCTGAATACGGCTGAGACCAAGCTGATCCACAAACTGGGCTGGGCCTATGACTGTGATTCTGTATGAGAGGCTGGACGGTTTGTAGCAGGTGAGAATTCTACTACTGAAGCACCAATGTAAGCAGGGTGTGCTTGTGTGTGATATGTCAACATATGTACGTGTATGTGCACTAGTGGACTGGTGGCTGCCAGTAAATGGGTTTCAAACTGACTAAAAATGTAAAGGAATCCCTGGGTAATATCTCCCTCCCTCCCTCCCTCCCTCCCTCCCTCCCTCCCTCCGCCTCTTTCTTTCTCTCATCTAACTGTCCTGTACAAAAGGACAGGGCCCCTTGTTCACTCGTGAGTCTTATAGGGGTCCACAGTGGGAGGGCTCCAACAATGAGGAAAGGTGTGTGTTGTCTGTTCTTGAAACTGCCCCCCCTTATTCCAAGTTCCCCCTGGGAAAGGAGGGTTCTGTCTAGGGAGTGGTGGGGTGGGGTCTGGGGAAGGAAGAAACCTTTACCTTGTGGGTCTCTTCCCAGACTGTAGTCAACCCAAAGGGATGCCCCTGCTTCTTCCCATCCCCGAACTGGGCTACACTAGCCTGTTCTGAGCACTATCTCACACCCCTTGTCTCCTCTAGCGTGTTCCCCTGCACCCCAGACTTCCAGAGTCCTCCCTCCCTCCAGAGCTGCCTGGAAGATGGAATCAGGATCTGGCCAGTCTGAAAGACCCAGAGCAGAGAATTTGATAGGGGTGTTGCCTGAACCCCTGGACTCCATCCCTGCGGGGTTGAGCAGGTCCCCACTCCCCAGCTCCCACCGTTCGCCCCCAGCCTTCCCCAGCCCTCACACCTTTTACTCAGGGAGCGCGCAGCTCTGCTTCCCAGCTCCTCTCCGAGGTGTCTGCCTCCTCCCTTTTGCAGTCCCTGGCTCAGCCTCACTGATCAAACAGGTGTCACTGTTGCCACCTACAGGAAGAAGTGTGGGTCCTCTTGGAATGTTCGCAGAGGCTCTACGGCCTGAGCCCAGCCACGGTAGCAAGACGGGCGGGCGGGCCTGCGGGCGCCAGAGAGCTGGGAAAGAAGGTCGGCTTCTTTACTCGCAGGAGCTGGCGGTCAGGGGGCTTGGTGTGAGGAATTCCTTTGTGCAGCCTTCCCCATCCCTCTGTCCCTCCTCCTGCTCCCCTCCCAGTCACTGCCAGAGGGCTTTGTCCTGGTTCTGGGAGGCAAGGGCTGAGGGCATAGGCGGGAGGGAAGATGGGGGAGGTGACCACACAATTTTGCAACTTGGCAGTGAGGAGAAGGGGCCCCGCCAGTCCCCTGGAAACTCTAGAACAGATGAGAAAGTCTCACCTCAAGCTTCCTGGAAGTACAACTTCCAATCATTAGCTTCCCTTTCCTCTTGGGCTATTTGCATTTCTGCAAGGTCCGACTATGAGACGCTCTTGAAGTGACTTTCTCAACTCTGGGCAGCCAGTTGCCCGATTTCTGGACTAGGGGTCCCTGTGGCACCCTCTGCGGAACATGAGAACCTCATTCAGGATATCGGGCTTGCTGCCTTGTTTACCTGAACACTGAATCATTTCAAGAATCGCTTCGGGAGTGTGGAGTGTATTGGGGTACCATGCTTTTGGAAGATGAACATGCACAAAAGAATCACTCCAGCATCAACAGGAGGTGGACTAGCAAGTTGTGGTAAACTGAGTATAAAGCAGAGTTGCCTGTGAGCTTGGAAGGGCTGAGACAGCTCTTGCATTGTGGCTGATGCAGTGACTTGGGGTCTGTGCATTAGCACCGTTGGGGTGTTGTTACAGATAAACTGCCTTCCCCTCCCCCTCCACACACTCAATTTCAACGAGTGAGGGAGATTGGCTCTCTTCTGCTAGGAGCTGGTCCCCTCCCTCTCAGCTTTCCCATTGTATCCAGAGGCTCTAGTTGGCAATGACAGATTCCCTAATTCTCTCAGAATTAAAATGCAAAGAGAAACAAGGCTGCTTGCTGGCAGGAAGCCAGGGAGGGCCAGCGGGTCACCTAGTCCTCCACCCGGAGTCATTCTTGGCAGGTTGTTTTTTCAATTTCGTTTCTTTGCTTTGGTTGTGTTGGATTCTTACATGTGGGGACAGTTTGTGAGCTCTTTAGAAGCAGAGGGGGTGGGGGAACAGACCAGGATTCAATATGCATTGCTATGAGTCTCAAGGCTGGCAAACTCTCCAAAGGCTTCAAATCTAGCCTGTATGTGGTCCTGCAAGGCTGCCCCTCTATCTTTTAATTGGAGATGATGGTAAAAAGTAAGTCTTGTTCCTCCTCTCTCTTTTCAAGGGGAAACAAGGAGCCAGTTGGTAGTTTTGTTCTGTAACTGAAAAGCAGCGTGGTGCTACACCCACTGAGCAGACTGCAGGGCATAAGGGTCATATAGTAAGTGTATATTGAGTTCTCTTCTTCACGAACATGTAACTCTCCATAACTACTTTCCTGTACCTCGGTACTATCAGTGTGCTAGATGTTCAGCATTACCTGAAAGGCCCATGAGTTCAAGATTTGTTCTCTGGCCTGTGGTGCCATTTGGGAGGCTGTGGACACTTTTAAGAGATAGCTTCTTGTGGAATGTTTTTAGTACACTTTAGGGTATTCTTTTGAAGGGATGATGGGATCCAGATCCTTCCACTGGTTTTTCTATCCTGGCCATGAGGTAAGCAGCTCTGCACCATCACAGGCCTCTGTCATGATCTGTTATGGGCTACAAACCATGGTCTAGAACCTCCAAATCTGTGAGCTAAAATAAACCCATTTTCTCCATGAACTCATTATCCCAGGCATTTGCTATAGTATGGGGAAGCCGACACTCTCCATTTTCTTCTATGTAAAGTACAGGCTCCTATCAACCTTGAGCATGTTTTGGTGAGAAGCAAATACAATTATGGCAGGAATGTGGCAATGGCCATGCCATTCCTACTTCCTAGAGCAGCACAGCAGAGAAAGGCAGTGCCATGCTCTGTACCAGACTCTAGGAAAGGGTGTAGCTCTGTGACAGAATGTTTGTCTGACACGTCCAAAGCCCCGTGTCAATTCCTATCCCTGTAAACAAAACAGAACACGGAACAAACAAAACACTAGGCAGACTTCCTAGAAGAAGGAAATACCCGGATTTGTGGGGAAATCGTAATAGATCCCCTTAACAGTTTTCCCAGGGGGCTGAGGAAAAAGTGTTGGAATTTTATTTCTTCCTCTAACAAAAAAGGATCTCTTTTAAGAGCTAAGGTTTATTTATTTTCTTAACATTTAAAAATGTTTCATTCACTTTAGCAACATGACAGACAGTTGAAGTTCCTGTTAAAATCCAGAGTTGGAATGGAGCAGCCCCACTCCTGAGTTGCGGTGACGGAGTTGAGTCAGGTCTCCATCCTGCACGAGGCTCCTCCATTAAGCTGACTTGACCATGAGAGAGGAACATCTTGGCCTCTGCTGCATGAGGAGACAACTCAATTGCTTGCAAAGAAAGAGCTAGATTGTGCTGGGGATGGGTGTCCTATGAGTCAGTCATCAGGGAGGTCAGTTAGTTCTTTCCAACAGATGGCTCAGCACCTTCTGGAGAAGAAAAGTAGTTGTTTGGAGTAGACAGAAAAGGTCAACATTCAGCAAAGGTCCTCTTCCTTTCAGTGACACTTTTTTTTCCTTTTCTCAAAAGCAAAACCTAAAAGCTACAGAAGTCTTTAGCACCCTTCCCCTCTGAGCTGCACCCTGAGAATGTGTCCAGGACAGACAGAAGAGAGAGACCATGACCATAACCTCAGTGGGACTCTTCCTGTATAGGAGAACAGCCAGAGAAGAAGCTGGTATTGCTGGCTAGGGCCCGCTTCTTCTTCTTGCTTGTGACCTTATTTTCTTGTGATTCTGAAGGTCTCAGTTCTGGGTGGTCAGAGGAAGGAACAAAAGCAGGCCTGCCCAGCAGCACCTGATCTGCATCATATATCTCTTTTAGGATCTAGGAAAGACAGAGACAGAAATGAATAGACGGGCCCAGCTGAGCCACTACAAAGGTTCCATACAACCCAAGTAATACGAGCCATCCCCTACAAATGCTCTCTATTAGATAACACACTCCAGCCAGCGCCCAGCAATTTGATTATATCTTTCTCCACAACTATCTCCCATGGGCTTCTATCATAGCTAATGCAGAGAAGGATGCAAACACAGTTTTTTCATGTTTTGAATTTAGCCACCCACCTTGCTACTGGGAGTTGTACAGACAGGGTTGAAGAAGCTTAATCCTGAGGTCACCTCTGTAGGGTCTTCCAGCTTAAAGGAACTTTCAGAATCCTGGGTTTGCTCAGTAGCATCTAAGTTATCCTGAAATCAAGCAGACAGGCTTATTATAATTTAGCTCCCTGAGTTACAAAATAGCCTGTTCCTCTTCAGCCAGGGAAGTCCCAGCTCTGAGGACCCGATCAGCCCATTACTCAAAGCAAACCTAAGGGAGCTACTGTTCAGAGAAGCCACGGGGTTAAACATGTTCTGTCCCCAAAGAAATGAGTTTGTGCTTAAGAGGTGAACTCCCTACACAGAGAAACCCTGACTCAAAAAAACCAAAAAAGGAAAAAAAAAACAACAACAAAAGAAAATATCTTCAACTTAAGGCAAATTTTAGGCCGGGTGGTGATGGTGCACTAAATGAAAAACCATGAGAAGAGTGAACCCTTACAGGGCTCCATTATGTCTCTGAGCTTTAGCCTAGCTTACTTAGCTTAGAAGTCTTCGAAATAAAAGGCCCAAGCCCAGACTATTCCTGTGCAAATGTTCAGAAGTGCACGATGAATGTTCATTATACAGTACACTTGCAAGTCTTGTATTATGTGTCAAGAGCTGTGGCCAAGATTTCTTGCCATCGGCATAAGCAGGTATAAGGCAAGTACAGAGACTGAACCTGGTTGCTGCTGCTCTTTTCAGGGAACATTTTGTTTCCCAGAGTTTGTTTTTCCTGGGAGTAACGGAAGGACAGCTACAGTTAATTTGCTTCACAACGCTCTTTTCCCAGAGTCATGGAATGCTTGGTTCCCATACAGCCTACTAACAATTGTCTCAAGATGCCAGAAGGATTCACTTCCTTTCTGGAAGCTGCTACCTCAGCACATGGCTTTCACAATTCCAAGTAAGCCTCTGGACTAGTTTGATCCTGTGTCTCTATAACCTGTAAGTTCTTGCTTTCCTGTTCCTAGTTCCTGTTTCAGAAATCATGCAGAAGTTCTCAGACAAGGCTAGGGGTGGGGGTGGGGACTGCATACCTGAGGAGTGAAATGTTTCTTTCTGGGTACAGAGGAAGAAGTGTAGGGATTATTGTTAGGAGATTCCAGGTTTCAGGGCAGAAGGAGCAAAAGGCTAGAAACTCTGGAGAGGTCTGAAGAGATGGTGAGAAGAAGCAATACTGATCTTACTTGGCTCTGTTGTCGGTTCCGACACTTTGTGGGGTCACAGCTGCATGCCACATTACAGTCTGACCTTTGCTTTCTGCATCCACATTGCTTGTTCCCACACCAGCCTTTGCAGGAACACTGCAAAACAGGTTTGTGGGAAGACACATTACTGAAAGGATTAGATTCTAAAGTACCTTTCCTTCATATGCAAGTCTTTTTAGAAATAAGACAAAGAGCTACCATCTCTACCAAACCAGTCCCTCCTTTCATTTAACCAAGATCACCAGGAAGCACCATAGGTTAACTAAGAGCAGGTTACACCAAACAATGAAATGCCCTATTTTAGGCAGTATAGCTGAAGAAAGATAAGTGGGCTGTCCTAACACCCTTCTCTCATGACAAGTACTGGGTCACTGTGACAAATACTAGTCACAGTTTCACGCTCAAAGACCATGCAAGTACAGTTAGGCTTATTTAGGGACGGAGTCAAGTTGTTCTGCATTTCGTGACCTACTTAACTGTACTTTCTTTCAATGCACATTTCTACATTTTGTCCAGTGTCAGCTAGGGCTTTGTCCTGAGCACTAACTCATCTTCAATATCACGAAAGATAGGAATTAAAATCATTTATATTTGAAACTGCAGTTTTCACAGCACACACACGCAGCACACACACACACACACACACACACACACACACACACACACACACCTTATAGTCAATTTGTTTATTGGCTCTAATGGTGGCAAAGAGCTGGAAGGATGACTAATAGGTAA